CCCTAACTATGATATGATTCTATAATGCAGATATGTCTTTAGTCAAATACAGCCCTGTTACCTTCAGGAGCATTGGAAATCTCAGAGGAGCTCTCGTGACCCTGCCACCAAAGAGCTGAACTCCATTCAGAGTCCCAGCTGCACAAAGCATTTTTCAGCCTCTCTTTTCCATGGCCATGGGAGTTCAAGCTAAGTTGCCTTCTCCTTCAGTGGCTCAGAAAGACACAGAAGGATCCTGTTCTGCCAGTTCTCCAGATCCACCTACCTAATTTGTCACCTGGTGTGTGCCAGGCAGGGTGCAGCAGCCTCCAGTGGTTGGCATTGCATCCTCTGGAGCAGGCGAAGAAGATAAGTCATGTCTACTCATGACATCCATTGCCCAGAGGTCCCAGATGTGTCTGTAGATTGTCCACTCTGGAGGATCTCCCAGAGCGAGCAAGACACTGCAGTATTTGTGGCTATTAAGGAGTTCACTGAGCACCTTTTCCAAGATGACTTGCTTCTGTTTCATGCTGCCAAGGGGTTGTTTATGTATGATGCTGTGTGGGTGGGATGTAGTTTTGTCACTGCTCCGTTGTTGGACTGTGTTTGGGCACTTTGCCTGGTCATGATTAATGATGTTTTGAGTTGGGGCTTTAAGGTGCTTTCAGGCATACTTCAGGTACCAGAAGTAAAAGAGGTGTTGTTATAATCAAGGTACTTCAATGTAGTATCAAATGTAATCAGAAGTGAATTAGTTAAAGCAGTGTGTACATATAAGTCCTCTTATGGTGGGTGTTCAGACAACTTGTATGGTATAATTTAGAGGTCAATTTTTAGACTTTTGTAAGCCTTTTCTCTCCATGAGATGGTGGTAACTTGGCAGTAGATGCCAGGACTGCTGTCAGAGGGCAAACCTCTCCTGCAAAGGCCTCTTAGTGAAACATAACTCTTGAAACAGGTTAGGGCATTGTGAGAATTTGTTGATCCTGGCTTTAGGGTAAATTCTTACAGCTAACAGAACTGCTGTGGGCTGGGATCTAGTGGTTTCCTGCATTTCACCTGGCCTTGGAGTAAGCACAAACCTGTAGAAAATCTGTATTTCTTGTTGGTCTTGGCTCTATCAGGCTGTGCTGCTCTTTTCTTTCTGCAGCACAGCATATCCTTGGCATGGCTGTCTGCTAGAAGAAATGCCTGGAGAGCCGCAGCCTCTTTTCTCCATCACCTCAGCCTTTGTGAGGCTGGTGGTTCTTCAACCCCATGGAGAGGACACTCAAATTCAGATAGAAGAGTGGTTGACAGGTGACTTGTGTGGCCAGTTAGGTGTTTTGGCTTGACAGAAGATGTACTGGTCATGTCCAAGCAGCAGTAACTCGTGTGGATGAGGCTGGGAAGCTGAGAACTGGTGGAAACATGGGGAAATGGGACCTGAACTCCAGCTGGTATACAACTGAGTCTGTTTGCCACAGATCGTATGTTATCTTGGTATGTATGAAGGTAGTGACTTTGTTTCCCCAACCTGTTTGAAAAAGTACTAAATGGGCAGGAGATTAAAATGACCTAAAATGTTGAGAGCATTAAAGAAAGGGGACACTTTTAAAATCCTCATGTCTGAGCTAAGCTCACGACTTTCCAAGCTGCAACTCTGTGATTTCGACAGGGCAGAGATAGGAAATGGGACAATGTTGAAGCTGAAAATGAACCAAAATGTAAAACGTTCTTTGACATACTCCATTAGCACTGCATGCGCTGCTTTGGTCTCTCCAGCTACTTTAGTTTACTGCTGGAGGAGGTTGAAAGGTGATTCATTCATAGTTTACAAGTACCTAAAAAGGGAAGAGGTTTCTGGCTGCTAGATGGGATTCAAATCTATCACAGAAAAGCAGAGAGTTCTCTTGGCTGGAAGCCAAAGCCAGAGAAATTCAGGCTGGGAAAAAGGGCTGGAGTTTAAATGATACAAATACAAACCAGTGCAAGGTCTTGGGCTGGCATTAAGCAGGCTCATCAGCAGCTAATGGCTCTGAATGAACGTTCTGTGTCTAAGAGATGCAGGGATTAGGAAGAGAGACTTTCCAGCCCAGAGCAGCTGTTGCAGGAGACCAAGGCTGGGGGCTCCTTTCAACTGGAGCATCCTGTGCATGGCTCTGGATGCTGCATCCCAGGCTTGGGGCTCTTCTGTTCTTCCCCTGCTGCCATTCAAACACAAGCCACTCTTGCAGGGCAGCAGTAAGGCACACAGATGCGCTGGTGTCAGGCAGCACAGCTCTTTCTTCGTGTTCAATGCTTTTCACAGAATCCAAAGTATTTCTGGATTGGATTCCTCTTTCACTGGCTGGATCCAAGCAGGGAATTACAGTCCATGAAGTGTGGCTTGTGAGCCGAGTGTACAGTCCCTTTCCCTGCTGTTGTGAGACAAAGACATGCAGGGACGCGTTTCTCCTTCCTTTCTGGGCAGGCTCAGCTGGAGGGGTGTAATGCAGGCAGAGCCCCTGCTCTGGGTGGGTGTCCACTCCATCTCTGGTATGTGTCTCTTTGGGCCTGCCTATTGAAGAGTGTCGTGTAATTTATCACAGAAGCACTAGGCATGAGAAGTAATAGGTATGAGTGGGATGTGACTCATGTTGGTAGGGAGAAACAGGGGAATAGAGATCTTGGAAGGTTTCCTGCTTGTCCTTGGCCCTCTGCCTTCAACCCTCTCCAGGTTTCTGGGCTTTGCTGTGCTCTTACCAGCATTTTCTGGGCAGAGGGGCAACACTGTCCTAGGCCATGCTGCCTGCTTCATAATTCTGCAGACTGCAAACCTGGAAATAACACAAAGCAGGTGCACTAGTGCCAAGGTTAGGACCTTCCTAGTATTTAAAGCACATGTATACTGTTGGCATGGTACAGGGTGACCTCAGTGCACAATAGGAACCAACCAACACACACATTCAGACAGAATAAATATTTGACAGAGTCTATTTCTCTGTTCCCCCAAATGACCCCTTATAAAAGCAAGGTCCTGTTTACCTTCCTGGCTCTCTGGGCACAGTCTTCTGAGAAGAGACAAGCCCTCTTCTCCATTCATTGCCCTGCTGCTCTTCTGAGTGACGCATTTCCAGGCAAGGATCAGGGATTTTGGCTTCACAAAACCCAGGACACTTGGATCTTCACAGAACTAATGAAATTTGGGGAAAGTTGAGATAATTTTGTTCAGAAGTGCCAAAGCACAGAGACCTGGGCAGCAGCACAAGATGCCAGCGTGAGCCTGAAGCAACTGTCTGCATTTGTCCAAACTGGTTTTTGTGCTGTTTCTACCACATTAGCACATCTGAAGCCCTCCCCATCTTGACTATGGCAAGATTTCTAGGGAGTCTGCAGCAGGCTTCAGTGTGCAAGAATAAGTCAGGAATAATATTTGAGGGGGTTTACCCTGTTTTCCTTGGTGTATTAAACATCTTTCCTTTGCACTCCTGGGTCTTGTTTGCTTCTTTGCCTTGGTGCCGATGTAGCTGTGTCAGTGGAAGACCTGGTGTGCTTGGAGCCAGAGCTGCTATGTAACCCACCCATGTGCTGCCAGGCACCTCTCCTCTAATGGTCTGGGTTTGCCTTTCAGTCACTGGGAGCTTTGCCCAGCCAACCCCTGTTACCCCAGACTGTACCTTTCTGTCCATACCTATTGAACTGAGGACGGTTTAGATTCGCATGCCCTTGCGCATACACCAAACCAGTATGAGAGTCCTCCTGACGCTGTAGCATGCACATGATGACTGCTGTGCTTCTTATTTTGTATAAGATCACTTTCACTGAAAATTTTTTAAGTACAACCTATGATGACTTAGCCTGGCATGAAGAATGAGTGGAGACATGCAAAGGTCTATAAAATAGCAATTGCTCTAATGAAACCCATCCAGTTCCTCCTCCTTTGATCTTGCAATATGGAAGAGCAATCGGAATGCAGTAGGCAATTAAAAGGTGGCTGGTGCATATTAGAGAGAGGAAATACTTTATCTGTAACACATCTTAGACAAGTGGAAATCATTGTTATGAATATTCTTCAGCCAAACCCAGCAATTTGCTTTTTTTTTTTTAAGGTTAATGCTGAAAAGGAAAAAGGGAGCTGCCAATTGAATGAAAAATCACAAGCCTGCTAATGCTTCTTGTCAGGTTCAATATAAAGCCTGGTAGAGATTGCTGAGAAGTGTTTCCCTCTCTTCCTGATGTTTCACCTGTCTGAAACACCCATGCAGAACCAGGCTTCAGATTGGAAAGCCTGACACTGCAGGTCCTATGACCATTTTAAATAGAATCACAGAATCACAGACTGGTTTTGGGTTGGAAGGGACCTTAAAGCTCATCCAGTTCCCACCTTTCTCATCCTTTATTTGTGCAGGTTTCCACTGCAGCCCCTCTCCATGGCTATTGCTCTGCCGCTGATGCTGTCAAGCTGAATGACCATCCTCTTTAGCAGCAGGCATAGAGCATCCATGTCACACACTACTGGGGGACTGGGGACTGCACCCCATGACCTGCCTCTGCTCCATCTTCAGTGAAACCCTTCAGCTGTGCCTGGTGTGGTGTGGGATTGACAACACACCTGCTAGCAGTGGCAGAGATCATGTAGGTGTTGGTAATCATCAGCAGCAATGGCAGGATGCAGGGAAAATAGTCTCCAAAGAGCTTTGAGCCTTCTGCATCTTGGCTCTGGGCTGGTGGGAGAGCCTGGAGAGCAGCACAAACCCTTGTGCCAGCAGGAAGACACATGGGTCACATCTGTGTAAGGACAGCTATGGGGCAGTGGAGTCCGGAGCAAGCCAGACCTGGGGAGCTCCCCCTGTTCTCCACATGGACATTTCTGACTCCATGCCTATGTGCTGGTAAAGCCTGGGGAGCCGCGCTGGTGTGCAGCCCCACCCCAGCCATCCCAGGTCAGTGGGCAGCACTGCTTTTGTCAAGGAGGGGCCTCGGTGCACTCACATAACTGTGTGCAGCCTGTGCAAGAGGCAGGTTTCATTCACATTGTCTGCTTTCTGTTTTTGTAGCTGTCCCTCCCAAGCTGAAGAAGCTGAAAAGCCCAAATGTTCACGTTGGTGAGAAGATCTCACTGAAATGTGAGGCGACTGCTGGAAACCCTCAGCCCTCCTACAAGTGGTTTAAAGATGGCAAAGAGCTGAAGAAGAGCAAAGACATCCGGATCAAGTATGGGAATGGGAAGTAAGTATGCCATGGGGCTGCTCTGCCTCTGCTCACTAACTCTGAGTGTCTGGGTCTGTGGGAACATCTGGATAGAAGTGATGCTGTGCTCTCCATGTCACAGCTGAGGGATACTGTGACACTTCCTTGGAGTCACAGGACCATGCCCAACTCATTTACCATGCCTGGGAGAGTGAGCAAGATTCCCAGTTTCCTAAGAAAGTAGCAGTGAGAGAGGAGCAAGGCACACACAGGATAGCTGTTGGGTCTGTAGATGGGCCTCTCCTTGGGTAACTGTGTCATTGGATATCTGAGGTGGGAGATAACTCTTCACCTGCTAGCTGTAGACTGGTTGCAGGCAGCTCAGGCTACCTGGGGTGAATTCTGCTTTGTTACTATGGGTTTGAATGCAGCAGCTGTGCAAACCCAGCAGTCACCCCACCAGCCCACAGCAGGCATGAATAAATGTGCGAGGAATCACTGTTAGCTCAAACTTAGGTGGACTCAGAGCCATCTAAGACAACTGGAGGGATGCAAGAGCACATCATGATACTGTCTGATTAGGATTTGTAGTCACTGTATCTCACGCAAGACCTTGTGTTGCTGCACCCAGGGCAACCATTGTGGCTGCCCCAGCGTCCCCCTGAAGTGAAGCCGTCAGGGAGCTGCTCTCAGCGAGTGTCATCCTAGGGATCACCTCACTGGGGCAGTGCAAAAACACCAGGAGAAACAGGCCTCAGGGACTAGCTAAGGGGTTCTCACTTGGAACTGATTTAAGTGAATCCATGTTGATAGTTTTCAAGGCCAACTACTTACATCTGATATAGCTTAAAATTATTCCATCATTGTGACTATGCTTACATTCATACATCCTGACCTAGCCAGCAACTGTCAGCTTGCAACTACCCAAGCCCTTGGAAAACTTGTTAATTCTTTGTTAACATATGTTATGTCTGAGTGTGTGAAAAATAGCTCGTCTCTTCTCATTACGGACTTCAAAGAATATTAACTTTAAAATTAGAAGCCATTAAATAATCACTTAGATCAGTTAGTGCTGGAATGAGTCATTATCAATTGCTCTAATTTAACATCAGTCCTGTTGGCTCTGATTTCAAAGTCACATGTAGAATGGTTGACCTCCATTAAGGTAACTGTAGAGTTTGTGGCTGTTCTGGGAAAAGGCAGAGAGGTGGTCAGTATAAGGTTTAGGCTAGAAACACCAGGGTATCCAGAATAACTGGCTTGTTATTGATGCTGTCTGCTCAGGAAGGGCTGTCTGGGCTTCCAGGCAGCAGAGGAAGGGCAGAACTGTGCCTGTCTCTTTGCTCTGTTGTCCTCAGTACTTCTGCGGGCCTTGTCAGCCCCGTGGCCTCAGTTGTTTACTGGTGTGTACTGGAGCTGGGATTCCCTGGAGGGATGTCTGCACCACCCACTGCAGCCCTGCGTGGGAATCCTGCTGGTCCACCCATGTGGACATTGCATCCTGCGGGCAGGCAGCTTGTGGGACCTTGAGCTCAGTGGTGCTATGTCTCACAGGGATGTTGGGGTGCTGTTTTCCTCAGAGCTAGAGAGCAATCAGCACCAGACTAAACACCCATCAAGTCTCTCTGGTGATAACAACAAGCGCCTTTTGCAGCATTTCCCTGCTGTGCTCCCAGACATCATAGTCCCTCTTGCCTCCTGGCACCCCGTGTCCAGCACAGAGCTGTGACAGGGTGGCATCCCACCCACAGTGGTGCAGGAGTTCATGCACTCCCTGTGTCAGGGACGTAAACATATGGAAGAAGGTTGTTCCTCTTTCCTCAGGACACTGCTGTCAAGTCATAATTCTGCATTTACCAGTTTCCATGGCAACGCGTTGGCTGACAGCCTGCCAGTGACAGGCCAGAGACACGCTGTGCATGCTACAAGTGCTTCTTGATGGCAAAATAAGCCCAAGGATAAACATTTTAAAGAAAGCTGAGCACCTGCCTCCTCCAGTGCCTGAGGCTTCCTCAGCAGCAGAGGTGTAAACCCAAACCCCTCGCTGTTCTGCCCCCAGAATCACAGAATCCCATCTGGGTTGGGTTGGAAAGGACCTTAAAGTTCATCCATTTCCAACCCCCTGTCACGGGCAGGGACCCCTTCCACTGGAGCAGCTTGCTCCAAGCCCCTGTGTCCAACCTGGCCTTGAACACTGCCAGGGATGGAGCAGCCAAAGCTTCTCTGGGCACCCTGTGCCAGCGCCTCAGCACCCTTATAGGAAGGAATTTCTTCCCAATGTCTTATCTCAATCTCCCCTCTGTCAGTTTAAAGCCATTCACCCTGGTCCTGCACTACATGTTCTTGTAAAAAAATTCCTCTCCATGTTTCTTGTAGACCCCCTTCAGGTACTGGAAGAGCTTCCCATCACTGCCTTTACTCCCTGCTGTCATTAAAACATGCCCTTAAGTGGAGCGCTTGCCTATGTGGGGCTGGAGCCTGGCTACAGTGATTAGGCTCAAGCAGTTGTTGATCTGGGACAGCTCTGATGTCAGAATGGTGAAAAAGGTCAACCCCTTGTTGACCATTTGCCCCTTGTTGAGCAGTCAGCAGTAAAGGAACACTCTAAGCAGATCTGGATGGGTCTGTGCACACCCAGTCTGGCATCCTTGGCTTTCAGGCCCTTCTCTCCATGGAGTTTGCTAGGTGTCAGTGCTTGAAAAGTCTTAGAGGGCAGAGTCCTTACTGGCATTGGACCTGTCTCTTTTTGGTCTTGATACCATGCAGTGAACACTAAAAATTGCTCTCTGCAAGCAGCGTGAGGATCGAGGGAGCCCTCGTGGTTTTGCATATCTCCATTAAGTATCTGGGTTTAGCAGTGGGACCCAAAAGTGGATATGGGATATGGGTGTACATAATTATTTCCAGCATGTTGTTAGGAGAAGTCTCCCGGGAAGGGTAAGTATCCTAAACTGTAAAACTCAGAAGGGAAGTCCTACTCTATGATGATTAATTCAAGAATAATGGGGTTTATACATCTGGCTCCACTTAGAGATAACACTGGTCTCCAGATAATCCCTGCTCTTTCTTTCAGTTCAGAGAAGAGTGGGGTTTCCAGAGGGCTGGAAATAGAACACTGGGGAGGGACTTCCATAGAGAAAGTACACAAAAAGCTCCATAGCATCTGGCCAGGTGTGCGGGATCGCTAGTTGTCTGCTGGAGCCAGGCAAATGAGCCCTGCCAGGATGGGGAGGTGTTTTTCATACTGTTTCTCTTGGTCCAGTGAATCCCAAGCAGAGTGTCAGGCCATTTGTCTGTAGCTCTGAGGTCCTTCAACAACATGCAGAGGGTTAGGATGGAAGGCAAGAACAGGGTTGCCCTCTGTGACTCATTCCTGCTCCGTGCATGTCTTTCTCTGTGTTTAAAGAGCCTTGAGTTTTCTAACTACCAACTGTGACTGAAGACTGTTCTTTGTGATCAAGTTTTCATCTGATCCCACTAGAGTAGATCTCTTTTAAAATAAGGGCGGTATATGTTTGTAAGGAGGAGAGGAGCAGTTAACTGCAGTTCAGCTCTTCAGCTTCTCCATCAATCCTCTTCCCTCTTGTGTTTTAAAGTTACTGGCAAAACTTCTGGTACCATCAGCCAAAGGAGTCAGGTTGGTTTTTTTCTCGATGGATATTTGCTGAAGGGAGGGGAACAATCCTGATTCCTCCTTTCTGAACTGCATGTTCCATCTGTAATTAGTAACAGGCAGGGGCAAGCCTGGCTTGCACAAAATGGAAACTTCTCTTTAAGGTAGAAGAAATTATTGGCTGGAATTTTATCTCTGGCTCCATTTAAATAAAACACAGTTGATGGGGAACCTAGAGGAATTACCCAGAAAGAATTGCCTGCGATAGTGGAAGTACAGCACAATGAGTGGCTCTCCCTCTGAGCTGCCAAAGCGATGCCATTCTCTGCTGAGTGCATCTGAGATGGGACTGAGGCTGGGTTCTGACTCTCTGGATGTCTGGCAAATGGTCAAATGCCAACTGTGGAGAAAGCCAGGAGAGTTTCTGCTTGTGAAGGTGTAGAGAACCTGACTCAGTTCAGGCTGTGCTCAGGGCTCAGCCCTGAGACATGTAGATTGCCAGCTGGAGTCAGAGGGGGTTCAGGAGCCTGGTAGTCTCCTCACTGTGGCTGTCCTTACAGCCTCTTCTCTTTGTGTGCTCTTTTACCAAGGGAGATTGCTGTGGTGATGAAGTAGGCGCATCATTAGATTGGAGAGGGTTGTGGCAGTTCAGTTTGGGACAGGCTGACCATATGACGTCCCTTGGGAGTAGTGTCCTACTTTCAGTATCACCAGGAATCCCTATTGTTAGCCTGTAAGTGGAGCCAAGGGATACCCTCCTCTCCTGTTTCTGTACAGTAGTCCCTCAGGCGTTCCTAGCTGGGGCAGATTCATTGCTGGGGTCTTCCTTGTAATGCTCCCTGCTGTAGATTATTCCCCACCCACAATGAATGGGGCTGTGGTCTTCCCTGTACAGCTCACTGCTCTGGAATGAAGGCAAAAAAAAAGAGATCATAATGCCAAAGCAGCAGGGGAAAGAGAGTGCCAATAGAGATAAATGATTTCCTAATTGAGCCTGGAGACAAGGAGGGGCAAAGAGAGCTGTTGAAGCCTTGTGGGAGCCAGAGTGAACCCAAGCAGGCTATACCACCACTCTGGCAGGGGTCTTCAGGCTGACATTTTTAAACAAAGGAAAAAGCTCATTTGACAATGGATCTTGCAAGAGCAATTCCAGATGCCTCGAAGCTAAGACTCCTCTCAAGCACCGGTGTTGTTATAATCACCAGGGGAGCTTCTGCCTTGCTAACTCTCACGATGTCATTATAAGTCTCCGATACTTGGGATTTGGTTTTAGCTGCTGAAGGCACTTTGTTGGAGGGGGGGTGTGAAGGAGAGCATCTCCTTTGTTTGCCTGTCTGTTGTTTTAAAGGAGATGATGGACGTCATCTTGGCCAATGCACCTGGGACTGAACCAGGGAATTTGAGAACTGAAAGGAGAAGCAGTTGG